TGATTAGGCCATTTTATAGCCAAAACGGACCAACTAATTATTGGGAATATGCCTAAATATTTTTAGGAAATTAAGTTAGTTTTTTATAAGAATATTTTATTTATATTTTAAATATTTAGATTTAATCTGTTCTGATTATTTTAAGATTTATTTCTTTATTTTAGAATAGAATAATATCAATATTGATTTTGTATAACAAATTTTTTCTATAAATAGAGACTCATGAATAAAATTGTATCATGTTCCTCTGATAAAAATAACTCTTATAAAATATTCCCTCAGAAAAATATCATAAAATAACCACATGAGTGGTATTAGAGCCGCAGGTTGGATTCGGTAACAACCAATAACCCCATAACCCCTCATAACTCATAACATATAATGTGCTTTATAAAGACAGATTTCACTACATTAAAGATTAGGTCCCTTGTTTGAGGGAAGGATTGTTGGGATACAAACAAGTCTCACATCGATAAAATAACACAACAAATAACAAATTATATAATTCAAACATACTTCAATGATTGAGAGGCCTTTTGGGTGATGACCAAAAGAAAAACCGTGAGGGCTAAGGCCCAAAGCGATATCTCATCATTGTGGAGTATGTTTGTGTAATAACCTTATAAAAATAACATATAAAATATCCCCTCAGACAAATACCATAAAATAACCCCATCATTGGTATCTAGAGCTAAGGTTACGATCTTGGAGATAGAAGCAGAAACAAACTTTTCACAAATTTCCCCACCTATTTTTGATGGAGAAAGTTATGATCTTTGGGCGGTGAGAATGGAGGCATACCTAGAAGGTTTAGATCTCTAGGAAGCCGTAGAAGAAGATTATGATGTTTTTGCGTTGCTAGACAATCCTACCGTAGCCTAAATGAAAATTCACAAGGAAAAGAAAATCAAGAAGGCAAAGGCAAAAAGTTGTCTCTTTGCCTGTGTTTCACAAAATGTTTTCACCAGGATTATGACTCTCAAATTGGCAAAAGCAATTTAGAATTATCTAAAGGAAGAATATGCTGGAGATGAAAGGATTTGAAGCATGCAAGTATTAAATTTAATGAGAGAATTTAAAATACAAAGAATGAAGGAGACTGAGACAATCAAACAATACTCAGACAAATTGCTTAGCAATGCTAATAAGGTACGATTACTAGGAACGCAATTTTTTGATTCTAGAATTGTTGAAAAAATTCCAGTAACTATACCCGAAAGATATGAAGTTTCAATAGCGGCTTTGGAGAACACAAAGGATCTGAGTAAGATCACTTTGGCAAAGGTGTTACATGTATTGCAAGCATTATAACAAAGGAGGTTTATGAGAGAAGAAGGATCTATGGAGGGTGTATATTTAGCCAAATGGAAGAATAAAAATAGTGGCAAAAACAAGAAGAAGGAATTGCTTCAAGAGAACGGTCAATATAATAACACTCAAATTTTTCCACCATGTCCTTATTGTAAAAAGACTAATCATCCACAACAGAGATGTTGGTGGAGCCCTGATGTAAAATGTGACAATTGCGGAAAATTAGGACACCTAAAACATGTATGCAAATCTCATGAGCAACAAGAAGAAGCCAACATTGTTGAAGATCAACAAGAAGAGGAAGAAGAAGAACTACTTTCAATATCATGCTTTATGACCAAAAAACCCTTAAAAGCTTGGATTATTGATAGTGGTTGTACAAATCATATGACCTATGATCGAGAACTCTTCAAAGAACTCAACAAAACTGATATCTCTAAAGTTCAAATGGGGAATGGAGCACACCTTGCAGTAAAAGGCAAAGGAACACTTGCTATTAAGAGTCATTCAGGTTTTAAATTAATATCTGATGTTTTTATACGTTCCTGATATTAACCAAAATTTGTTGAGTGTTTCTCAATTATTAGGAAAAGGCTATAAAGTGTTATTTGAAGATAAAAATTGTGTGATTAAAGATATACACAACAAAGAAGTGTTCAATGTTCATATGAAAGGCAAAAGTTTTGCTTTAAATTTGGAGAAGGAGGAGCCAATTATAAATGAAGATACAAGTGAAGAGCACAAAGATGCATGTCTTCAGAAGAAGTTTGATGATCAAGAGGAGAATAAAGATGATGAAAAATCACCTTCAAAAGAGAAGTTCGAGACAAATGTTAAAGTAGTCTCACTCAAGAAGGATTACAACAAAAATCACAAAAAGAATAAACCAATCAAAAAGAGAAAAGACAGATTTTGAAACTCAAATTAGGTGATAAAGATATTCAGTCAAGGAGGAGTGTTGGGAATATGCCTAAATATCTTTAGGAGATTAAGTTAGTTTTTTATAAGAATATTTTATTTATATTTTAAATATTTAGATTTAATCTGTTCTGATTATTTTAGGATTTATTTCCTTATTTTAGAATAGGATAATATCAATATTTAATTTTGTATAACAAATTTTCTCTATAAATAGAGACTCATGAATAAAATTATATCATGCTACTCTGATAAAAAATAACTCTTATAAAATATCTCCTCAGACAAATATCATAAAATAACCCCATCACTAATATCATGTCACATACAAAAAAAAAATTCAGTTGCCGGCTTTAGTTTATATGTTTCTATTTATAACTTAGTGTACATTTAGGATTCTTTACAAAGTAAAATGACATTTATAAAAGCAGATAAGATGGATATATATTTAAGGAAATAACAGCATTTGGACGAATTATAAACGGCAATTATTGGATTCATGCTTGTATCATTCACAACTACATTATTTGGGGCTAATACAAATTTTCCAATATTTAAAGTCTCCAATATTATTCACAACTTGAAAGTGTGTTGTTGGCGACCACAAACTAAATGTGCTTACACACCAAAAGCTGCATTTCATATTTAAGAAGAAAAAGAACTCTGGTTCATTTCTGCATTTGTTAGTGGAAAGAAGTAAAATCTGCCAAGTATTAGTTGAATTTACTGATTTAGTCTTTCATTAAAATTTTCAATTTGATGTAATAGTTCAATGTGATCCATGGGCTTGCAGGCTACATCTAACAGGTGTTTGTTATTTTTGAGATGCCGAACATTCAGAATACAAGAGAAACTATCAAATTTTCATTAAACTTTTCAATATGCTAGAATGTGTTCTGATAAGTGTTATGATTTCATTAAGTTTATGGCCTAGATTGAAGCACTTATATCAATTTTCCTTGTTTTAGACTTTGTTTTTAACTCAAAACATATCTAAATTGTTAGGTGATCACATTTTGTTTTTGAATCATGTTTTTAGGTAACTTACAAGTATTTGGTTGTTGTTTTGTAGTTTAGGAGAAAGCTAGGAAAGAAGGAAGGAAGTCAAGCACAAAGTGGTGAATTTGAAGTTGAAGGAATTTTTGGTTAAGTTCCCAGGCTAAGCCCCAGATCCACGCTTAGCCTCAGCATGGCAGAGAATCCCTGGAACAGAATTTTGATCCCCACGCTGAGCGTGGAACTGAGGCTTAGCGTGGATTGTGCTGACATGTCATTATTCACATAAGACAAAAGCTTTTATGACCTAAAAGTGGGATTTTCGAGGAGAGAAGTAAGGAGGATCATTCTTGGACTTTGTGTGGCGGCTGGAGAGCTCTGGAACCTTCAAGATCAAGCTTCTTCCTTTCTTCATCATTTGTAGAGTTCTACATGTCTATGTGTAGCTAAACTCACCCTTGTTGGGGTTTGATGTAACTAAACTCATTCTCATGTGTAAACTCTAAGCTATCAATCTAAGTTGTTATTCAGTTTTATTGTTCTGTTTTTGTGCATAATAATGCTTGTTATGGCTTGATCACCCTTAACTTGAACTTAAGGTTTTTAAGAGATTGAGAAATGATTTTAAACCTTTGACTTGAAATAGAGCAGCTAATGGTGCTTATTGCTAGAGATAGAGTAAATGTCATTGGTTTTTCTTAAGCTCTTGTTTTTAAAAATGATTTCTTGATTAAACTATGTAAGAGATTGATAGTTTAAGTTAGCAACTTAGATGCCAACTTGTAAAAGATTTGGGTTGGTTACTTTTGAGAGTGATTGATAAATTATGAATAATAACTATTGTGAACTTTGTGATAAACATGAAAGGAAGGTTTAGTGAAGTCAAACCCCAACAATTTATTAATATTGCATTAGAATCAAGTTTTGCACTCTAAGTGTTTACCAAAATACCAGAAAGAATTGTTATTGCTTGTTTACATTATTTACTGCAGCAAATCAAACTCTTATTGCTTTCTGGTAGCTTAGTTAGTATAACAAGTGAAATTGCAAAGTGTTGCGCAAGTCCCTTGAGAGACGATACTCATACTTTCATTGAACTACATATACGATTTGGTACACTTGCCAAACGAGATAACAAGTTTCTAGTGCCGTTGCCGGGGACTTGCGTCTCAATACTTAGGCAAAGTCACTTGGATTACTAATCTAGGCTTTGATTCATTTATTCTTTTATATTTTGCAGTTACTATACTTCTTTTCTTTTAATTCATTGTATCTGTGTTGCTGACTGTTTGTTGTAGCTTTGTGATTCTGGTTTATGCGAGGTACTATTCCTGCTAGTGATTTAGCTTACGACCCAGAAATTGAGAAAACAGCTAGGAGGAACAGGGGAGTAGTAAGGAAGCAAAGGTTACTAGTCAAGCAGGCACAACACAGAGAGGCTACTTCGTCCTCTCTCAATCCTTCTTTATCTGAAATCATAGAGAAAGCAGAAATGGCAGAGGAAAGACCAAGAATTACTCTTGGTGATCATGCAGTTGCTACTGGTACTACTCATTTCTCTAGCATTGCCACTCCTGCAATTGCTGCCACTAATTTTGAGATGAAGCCATCACTGTTGAATCTAATTTAGAACAATCAATTTGCGGGTCTTGATCATGAGTACTCTGCATCTTCATACTTTTATTGAGCTTTGTGGCACAGTGAAGATACATCAAGTTCCTGAAGGGGTGGTTCGCAGGAAGGGGTTTGCTTTCTGACTACTTGGGAAAGCTAAGATGTGGCTCAATGCTCTACCACATCAAAGCTTAACCAGGTGGTCTGACATAGAGACAAAGTTCTTGGCAAGATTCTTCCCTCTCGCTAAGATAAATCAAGCAAAGAGTGAGATTGTTACATTCTCTCAGAAGCAAGATGAACTTCTTTCCGAGGCTTGGGAGAGATACAAATCCTTGTTGAGGAGATGTCCAAGTCATGGATTTGATGACCTTACTCAGGTTAATATTTTTCTCGGTGGATTGCAGCCACGGGTGAAAATTCTATTGGATGCCTCAGCTGGAGGTAGTATGCGTTTTAAAACACCAGAGGAGGCTATAGAGTTGATTGATGCTATAGCAGCAAATGATTATGATTTGCCAGCTGAAAGGGATTCAAGACAGAAAAGAGGAATTTTAGAGTTGGGATCTCAAGATGCTTTATTAGCTCAAAATAAGCTCTTGTGCCAGCACATTGAAGCTCTTACCAAGCAAGTTGCTCGAATTCCACAACAACTACAATCCACTCAGCATCAAGTTCTAAGTTGTGATCTTTGTGGGTTGAATCATCCTCACGGGCAGTGCATTGATACTTTCCCATCTCATGGAGAAGATGTGAATTACATGGGGAATCAAGCTCGACAAGGAGGAAATTATTGTGGTAATTATGGGAAGAATTGGCAATCACACCCTAGCACAGGGTGGAACCAGAATGATATTGCTCAGTCTAGTCGACCTCTTATGCAAAGGCCCAACTGGTATGATAGGCAATCTAAATTGGAAGAAACATTGAATCAATTCATGCAGGTCTCAATCTCTAACCACAAGAATAATGAAGCATCTATAAAGAATTTGGAGATTCAAATGGGGCAGCTGGCCAAACAATTGGCTAAAAATTCTGGTGGAAATTTTTCAGCCAATACTCATACTAATCCAAAGGAGAATTGTAGTGCAATTACAACAAGAGGTGGTAAGAGAGTGGGTGTGTTGGAGGATGAGGAAGAGCAGCAAGAAAAAGAGGTAGAAATGAGAGAGGGAGATGGAGAAAATAATGAAAAAAAATAAAAAAATTAGAAAATGCAAAAGAGAATGTCATAGAGGGAGAAGAGTTGGCTGAGGAAGTTGCTGTTAAAAAATCAAAGAGCCAGCTAGCAAGAGAATTGAAGATGAAATCCAAGGTGTCTAGTACCAAGGATATGCCATATCCCCCTGCCCCAAGCAAAAAGGATAAAGAGAAGCAATTTGTATGCTTCATGGAGCTTTTTAAGAAGCTTCAGATCAACATTCCATTCTCAGAGGCATTGGAGCAAATGCCCACTTATGCAAAATTCATGAAAGACCTCTTGACAAAGAAGAAAAAGTTCATTGAGCAAGAGATCATTGAGTTAGAAGTGGGGTGTAGTGTCATAATTCAAAAGAACTTACCTCCCAAGTTCAAGGACCCTGGAAGTTTTACAATTCCAATCACCATTGGGGACCTATCAGTTGGAAGAGCACTGCTAGACTTGGGCGCAAGCATTAACCTCATGCCTTTGTCTATGTTAGATAGAGTTGGTCAAGTGGTAGTAAAACCGACCCACATGACTTTGCAGCTAGCAGACCGGTCCATCAAGTATCCCTATGGTGTGATTGAAAACATGCTAGTCAAAGTTGACAAATTCACATTTCTAGCTAATTTTGTGATTTTGGACATGGAAGAGGACTCTACTGTTCCTATTATCTTGGGGATGCCATTTATGAAGACTGCACGAGCAATCATTGATGTTGGGGATGGTGAATTAAAATTGAGGGTCCAAGATGAGGTGATCACTTTCAATTTATTTGAAGCCACGACCCTTCCGAATGATAAGGGTGCTTGTTTTCGAATGGATGTGCTGGATGAGGTAGTGTGTGAGGCTACAAAGAAGCTGAAAAAATCAGTTCCAGATGATGTAACCCGTTTGAATCCACCTCCATTCTCACTGCTTAGGAAAGCTAAATTGTGGCTCAATGCTTATGATTCAGCTAAGCATTACAAGGAAAGGGTGAAGTTGTATCATGAACGAAAGATCTTAAAACGAGAGTTTCAGCTAGGACAACTTATGCTCCTTTACAACTCCCGATTGAGACTCTTTCCAGGAAAGCTGAAGTCAAAGTGGTGAGGGCCATTCAGAGTTAAGCAAGTTAAGCCTCATGGAGCAATACAAGTGGATGTTTCCTCCAAGGAGAGCTGGGTGGTAAATGGCCAAAGACTTAAACTCTACTTGGGCAGTGAAATTGAGCGAGCTTATTCCACCGTTGCATTGAACAACCCTTAAAGTCTTGGCTTGTCAAGCTTGTGACATAAAACGAGCGCTTTATGGGAGGCAACCCATCATTCTTAATCCAAAAACCAGTTAGCATGCATTCAATTTCAATTATTTTGTGTTAGTGTGTTTTAGGTGTATGTACATGGTTTATCATTGTGTTTGCTTCTTAGTCGAGAAAGCATTGTGATTGTGAGGGCTTGAGGAACTTCATGTTGAGCTATGCTTGAAAATTTTGAAAATTTGCAGAAAAATTGAAATCCACGCTCAGCATGAAGTTCCAAGCTAAGCTATATCAGTGCAGAGGTAGAAAAATAGCTCTCTGGAGGTGCCATGCTAAGCCTCAGTCCCACGCTGAGCCTCAAAACTTAAACTTGGAAACTGGGAGTTCTCTCTAGAACTCCCACGCTTAGCTTAAAATCCACGCTCAGTGTGGACGTGGCAGAGTAATTGGGCTCCTGGAGCTCCCACGCTAAGCCTCAGTCCCACGCTTAGCCTGGGAGTTCCTTTTTCATTAAATGTTGTCACACTCTCTCTCCAGACACCTATTTCTTTCCCTCTACCACTCCTCAACCTCTCACAAACACTCTCAAACCCTAAGTCTCTTTCTTTGCTTCCTTGGCCATGTTGCTCTTGGTGTGGGTAGGCTCCATTTTCTCTCCTCTTGTTCAAAGACGCAAAGGTAAGTCCCTTTCCCCTAACCTTGTGTGGTTCCCTCCATTGTATGTTTCTTGGTTCCCATTCCTATTTTTCCCCAATCATCTAATCCCCCAACCCATTTTTCGTGCAAACCCTTGTATCCATGGTGTTCTTGAGCTTATTTTCATGGTTGTTGTTCATTGATGATATTTGCACATTTGGGGTGGTGTATTTTTGAATGGGTCTTCTTGAAACCCTTGGAAACTTTGTTTGCGTGACTACCCAGTATAAGATCTACGCTTTTTCTGCGTTTTTGGTTGTGAATGACGAAATTTTTGGGCCAAAAGGGGGAGCTAAGTGCTCCCCCCATGACGCTGAGGGTGGGCCTGGCGCTCAGCGTGGCCCTGGCAACAACTCTGCCCTGTTCCTACACGTCTAAGCTGGGCGTGAGAGTGGCGCTAAGCGTCCCTGTGACAGCCCCATTTGGCCCTTGTTGGTCATACTTGTTGTGCTTTAATGGGTGAATTTTAGAAGCCTTCTTTGTTCACACTTTAAATGAGTTGGTTGTCATGTTAACTTTTCTTCATTGTGGTTCATTGGTTGGCTTTAACCTTTAATTTCATTGTCCTTGCATTTTTATGTTGCCCAATTTTTCAGGATGGCTCCACCAAAGACACACCCAGAGAAAAGAATTAAAACTACTGCAGGGCGACCATTTCGTGGCCCTTCATTTGACTCTCACACCTTCCGTGACAAGGAACATCAAGAATTTTATCCCAAGTTGGAAGAAAGAAGTCTCTGGATGGAAAAGATGGTCAAACTCAAGCCAACTGAATATCCAGAATTCCAAGCAGAAATACAAAGAAGGAAGTGGGAAAAGCTAGCCTCCTACATGGCTCCTGCTAACATTTCTGTTGTTCAAGTGGCTCAAATTTACAATTGAAATTGCCTTGATCATCTCTAAACAACATATGCTATGCAAACTCAAAAGAAATGTTAGCAGGAGCCATGTAGGAGGCTAGCTTTTCCCACTTCCTTCTTTGTATTTCTGCTTGGAATTCTGGATATTCAGTTGGCTTGAGTTTGACCATCTTTTCCATCCAGAGACTTCTTTCTTCCAACTTGGGATAAAATTCTTGATGTTCCTTGTCACGGAAGGTGTGAGAGTCAAATGAAGGGCCACGAAATAGTTGCCCTGTAGTAGTTTTAATTCTTTTCTCCGGGTGTGTCTTTGGTGGAGCCATCCTGAAAAATTGGGCAACATAAAAGTGCAAGGACAATGAAATTAAAGGTTAAAGCCAACCAATGAACCACAATGAAGCAAAGTTAACATGACAACCAACTCAATTTAAAGTGTGAACAAAGAAGGCTTCTAAAATTCACCCATTAAAGCACAACAAGTATGACCAACAAGGGCCAAATGGGGCTGTCACAAGGACGTTTATCGCCACTCTCACGCCCAGCTTAGATGTGTAGGAACAGGGCAGAGTTGCTGCCAGGGCTACGTTGAGCGCCAGGCCCACGCTCAGCGTCATGGGTGCAGCACTTAGCTCCCCAAGCCCAAAAATTTCGTCATTCACAACCAAAAACGCAGAAAAAGCATAGATCTTGTACTGGGTAGTCACGCAAACAAAGTTTCCAAGGGTTTCAAGAAGACCCATTCAAAAATACACCACCCCAAATGTGCAAATATCATCAATGAACAACAACCATGAAAATAAGCTCAAGAACACCATGGATACAAGGGTTTGCACGAAAAATGGGTTGGGGGATTAGATGATTGGGGAAAAATAGGAATGGGAACCAAGAAACATACAATGGAGGGAACCACATAAGGTTAGGGGAAAGGGACTTACCTTTGCGTCTTTGAACAAGAGGAGAGAAAATGGAGCCTACCCACACCAAGAGCAACACGGCCAAGGAAGCAAAGAAAGAGACTTAGGGTTTGAGAGTGTTTGTGAGAGGTTGAGGAGTGGTAAAGGGAAAGAAATAGGTGTCTGGAGAGAGAGTGTGACAACATTTAATGAAAAAGGAACTCCTAGGCTAAGCGTGGGACTGGGGCTTAGCGTGGGAGCTCCAGGAGCCCAATTACTCTGCCACGTCCACACTGAGCGTGGATTTTAAGCTAAGCGTGGGAGTTCTAGAGAGAACTCCCAGTTTCCAAGTTTAAGTTTTGAGGCTTAGCGTGGGACTGAGGCTTAGCGTGGCACCTCCAGAGAGCTATTTTTCTACCTCTGCACTGATATAGCTTAGCTTGGAACTTCATGCTAAGCATGGATTTCAATTTTTCTGCAATTTTTCAAAATTTTCAAGCATAGCTCAACATGAAGTTCCTCAAGCCCTCACAATCACAATGCTTTCTCGACTAAGAAGCAAACACAATGATAAACCATGTACATACACCTAAAACACACTAACACAAAATAATTGAAATTGAATGCATGCTAACTGGTTTTTGGATTAAGAATGATGGGTTGCCTCCCATAAAGCGCTCGTTTTATGTCACTAGCTTGACAAGCCAAGACTTCAAGGGTTGTTCAATGCAACGGTGGAATAAGCTCGCTCAATTTCACCGCCCAAGTAGAGTTTAATTCTTTGGCCATTTGATTTCCATGCGGTTGATTTTGCTTGAGTCTCTTTTGAGTTTGCATAGCATATGTTGTTTAGAGATGATCAAGGCAATTTTTCTTGTAAATTTGAGCCACTTGACCAAAAAGCCAACCTAACAAAAAAAAGTGAATCCATTACACCCTACTTTGAGCCAAACAGTGAATTCATTAAAAACCTTGAAGCCCTTAAGAAAAACAAAATTCTCTCACACCTTAGGAATATGAGAGCAGTCAAATTGATCATAAGGGGAGAAAGGTCTTAAGTTTGGGGTATTTTGGGGTGATCATTGTTGTTGAGCATATTAATGAATGTACATGTTATGGTTGTACCACTGTGGCCTTTAGTCAGCTATTATTCAGTTTCCAAAAATAAAATTTCAAAATTCAAAAATCAAGAAAAAAAAATCAAAAGAAAAAAAAATATATATCAAACATCAAAAAGTGATTAAATTGTGTGAATAAGTGTGTTGTGTGATTTATATGCTTTGGGTGAAGGTAGTATCTTGGAACTTCTGGGAATAGAGAAAGGAAGAGGAATTATACATGGTGATCATTAAGACTTGCTCTTCTACTCCTGTGGTGTCATTTGTTTACCCAGAAAAACCAATTTCTTTTGTTAGCCCAGCCACATTACAACCCATGAAAGACCTTGTGATTATGCATGATTATGTGACTGTTTGAATTTGATTGAGATGAAAAGCAAAGTTGATTTGTGTGATTCAATTGTGTAAATTTGAGAGACTCCCACCTAAATACACTTGTGTGATGAGAGAAACACTGATCTTGGTGAGGAGGAGGTTGTTCACTAATTTTCATTAGTATCATTGCCATGCTTGTTAATCCCTTTGGGAATGTTGCAATACACTTCTGATATCAAATTGTGTGGGCACCACATTAATTGGCTGATCAAGTGTAAACATTTTCTGGTGTTCAACTATTGGAAGACATGTATGACTGTTTTGTGTGATTACCAGTTTTCAAATTGTGTTCAATTAGGAGATTAGGTTGTGTGTTAACTTAGTTGCATTTTTCTTTGCTTGAGGACAAGCAAGATCTTAAGTTTGGGGTATTGATAAGTGTTATGATTTCATTAAGTTTATGGCCTAGTTTGAAGCACTTATATCAATTTTCCTTGCTTTAGACTTTGTTTTTAACTCAAAACATATCTAAATTGTTAGGTGATCACATTTTGTTTTTGAATCATGTTTTTAGGTAACTTACAAGTATTTGGTTGTTGTTTTGTAGTTTAGGAGAAAGCTAGGAAAGAAGGCGGTTCGCGGAGCTTGTGATGTCGTCGGGGCTGGTGTGCAACGACGGCGTGAGCTGGGTGACGTTCCACAGCGCCTACGATTTCGGGTACTTGGTTAAGATCTTGACCCGGCGCGATTTGCCGACCCGGTTGGAGGAGTTTCTGGAAGCCGTGAGGATATTCTTTGGGGAGAACGTTTACGATGTGAAGCACATGATGAGGTTCTGCGACACGCTCTATGGCGGCTTGGACCGCGTTGCACGGACGCTTAACGTGGACCGCGCCGTGGGGAAGTGCCACCAGGCCGGGTCAGACAGCTTGCTGACGTGGCACGCCTTTCAGAAGATTGTTGACACTTATTTTGTTAAGGATGAGCACCAGAAACATGCTGGTGTGTTGTATGGATTAGAGGTTTTCTGTTAATTATAAAATCATTATAAAGCTTTAAAATAATGATAATTCATTTCATTCGTTGGTTAATCTTGTTTTGTTCTATTCTCAATTTCTCATCACAAAATTTGGTAGGATATTGCGCTCATCAACTTTGATCATGGATGCCTTATTGTTGTTGGACCTCTAAATTCTGGCTTAAGCTTAAATTAAAACTTGACAATTAAGTAAATTACGGTGTTAAGCAAGGTATTGGAATTGCCAGATATGACTCGTAATCAATCTATGCAAGGAAAACTCAAATTGGTGAATATTATTCTTTGGTAGGTTGATTCTCGTGGATCAGTCAAAGCAGATGCTTGCGTAACGATCACGCACTTAAGGCAGGTGCACAAAAGCATTGTGATTGAAGGTGAGTTTGTACCCAATTTCACCTTTTATTTGTATCTTTACCATGTTTTCTCTTGTCGATAATAGATTAAGGAACTAGCACGTGGGCCGTGAAAGAATCAAAGTTCTCTCTTCCTAATTTCTGATGATGTTTATCTACTTATACGATTTGGTACACTTGCCAAACGAGATAACATGTTCCTAGTCCAGTGTGATCATAAGCTTGACATGCTACATGTTATTTGAGTTAGAGTTAGCTGCCTATACCAGCGTACTTTGGGACTGGATTCTTAGAGGTGGTCTGCTGATGGGCAATGGGGATTTGGTTCGGTTCTAGGAAGATGTGTGGCAGCAATAAAGTTTGATTTTAATGGAGCATGACAGTATTGGTATTGAAATTGCAATGTTCATAAATGGAGCAGGTTGTTATCCTCTACTTCATGTAGTTGTAAGGTATTAAAGGGTGTTTTACCTGCTTTTTATTCAGTATTAATTCAAGCAAGACTTGATTACTCACTTCGATACCAAATTTAGAATATGAAAAAAAGGGTGGTTTAAATATATTACAAATATGTAACACATTGAAACAATCAATTTTAGTTGTAAGATGCATAGAAAGGAAATATGCTTCTTACTCCCCTAGATGACAGTTCTTTCTTTTTAAACGTGTAACCACCCACATTAACATTACAAAAACAGCATAAAGTTTAACCTCAAATAACACGATGTTTACATAAAACAACAACAGGGCCAAAGATGATACAGGCCAAGAAGCACTCGATGTTAAGCAGATAGCACGTTAAGACCAATAGGACTCCTAACCCTTTGTTTCCCATTGTTCCATATCAAGGCACCAAACACAAAGTTTCCATTGCTATTCTTGAAAGGGAAGAAATCAATCCTGAAAGTTATCTTCTGCCCAGTTTTCCAGAACTTCAATTCTGCTGGAGTAATTATAACCTTCACACCAGATGGATTTTCAACACTTGCAGAATATATTGTTGGCTCATGGCCATAATAAGTAACTGTACGATAAACTGATAAATTTCCATTCAATTTGGACACACCAATTGAAGGATAATTGAAGTTGTAGGAAGCTGTAAGAGGTTTATGACATTGAGTAAGACCCCCAGTGAAGTTCTTAAGTTGTGCTGGGTTTGCCCCATTGCTGCACAGAAAATTCAGAACATCTTGGAGATTAAAATCATATACTAATCCAGGATTGAGTGATGAAACTGGGTTAACATGTCCCGATCCATAGTCAAATGGTGTGGTTTGAGTTCCATTTGGATCTCTTTCTATGATGCGGTGTGTGTTATCCAAAACTGTGGCTGTAACATCAGAACAAAGGCATTAATTTAGGATGATCACAATTGCAAACATCTATTATCAAGGTTTTTGTTGTTGTCAAAGACTTCTGTAGCATGAACATTTTACCTGTTGTCATTATTGCAGACTTTATGGCTGCAGGACCCCAGTGAGGGTGGTGAGATTTTATAATTGCTGCAACTGCGGTTATGTGTGGGCAAGACATTGATGTTCCTGAAATGATGTTATAGTTGACAGATCGTTGTTCAACTGTGGCTTCAGTTGCAACTGGAGACCATGCTGCCAAAATATTCACTCCAGGTGCTGTGATGTCAGGCTGCATAATTGGATGAGAGAACATTAATTTGCATATTAATTATAGGATCAACCTTCAACACCATCTCTTCTACATTTTTGTGTGTAACATGAAGTTAAACTAGGAAGAATCTGCAGTGCATGTAGATTTAAACATTTAGTCTACTGAGTAAGCTTGCCTTAATAATTTCTGGTGTTATTATATTTGGCCCAATGGAAGAAAAAGCTGCCATTTCTGGTGCAGGTTTTGTACCAACTACAGTTATTGTAGGGTAGATTCTAGCAATGGGATTCCTGACATAATAAAAGCATTAGCAGACAATGTTTCATGAATCAATCTTTTGACAATGAAGCGTGACTAACTTCAATATTGGAGATTTTTTCTCTTTTTTAACAAACTTTTAGAACTCACTTCTCTGTCTTTATATATGCTTGAAGCACTTCTACGGCATCCTGACCAATGAGAGTGCTAGGGATGACAAATTGGAAACCAATATCTTTGGCATTATGATCAATAAGTATCATTCCAACACCCCCACCTTGCCTTATTTCTATGGCCTTGGCTTGTCTGTCATCACTGAATTGCTCAATAGTACATATCACAATTTTACCCTTGATTAAGGTAGGATCTAGAGTGTTGTTTTTGCAGAAGCTGTTAACAAAAGAAATCAAAGAATTAGGATTAAAAAATTGAAACATGTCATTCCAGATGTCTTGGGTTTAAAATCATCACCCTAAAATAGTTCATGTACATTTATGTAGAATATGACAAACAATCAATTCTAAGTTTTGCCATTGGGAGTCAAACTAGACGTTTGATTCTAAATACCCACCATCTTTTTGCTAATGGTTTAATGATATGGAAGACAGGGAGACTAGTTTTTTCTTTCTTTATAAAGAAGCTTTTTCAGGATTTAAAACAAGTATTGTCTCATTTTCCCTCTATAGTACTGATTTTAATGAGTTTTAATATTGCCTAACGAGTAGAGAGTAGACACCAGATGGCAAAAATTCATGTATAATCTGAATTTTTTATCAACAATGAAGTTTGTGCTTAGCCAATGCAGAACATACCTTGCGTTCGTTGCTGAAACTCCGGCTGCTGCTGCAGCACTTCCATATATCAAACCATATGATTGCTCCATTCTTATTGGATTCAAAGAAGAACCCTGAAGGCACATAAACCTCTAATGATTTACTAACTAGTACTGATAGGCATTAAATCGTGTAAAGATTTGTGTTATTGACTTCACCTTTAAAACCTTAGCGTTACCAAGAAGGACATTTGTACTGAAATCCCTGTCTATTGTGCTAGCAGCAGCAGTGAGGATCCAAGGAGCAACATTGCATGCTGTACGTGGAAAAACTGAGTTTCCAGCTGAAGCAGAAACAAGAACACCCTTTTGGAATGCATGGAATGATCCTACACTGACTGCATCCTCAAAGTAAATAGGCTGGGGAGGGTCAGGACCAGGGGAAAGAGATAGTATGTCAACTCCATCATGGATGGCATCATCCATGGCAGAAAGAATATCAGCATCACTGCAAAACCCAAACCAACAGGCCTTGTAGATGGCAAGTCTTGCACCTGGAGCACCACCTCTAGCAGTTCCTTTGGCAATGCCAAATAAGCTGACATTAGCAACAATGGACCCTGCTATTGTGGAAGCTGTGTGTGATCCGTGTCCATTTTCATCTCGTGCTGACCGGAAAAAAGTCTTGTTAAGGCTCTCTAGAGGACCATTTTCTGCTTCAAACCCTTTTGAATAGAACCGGGCACCAATTATTTTCCTGAAAAATGCAAACTCCGGGTGAGATGGCATATAGTTACCAATGACAATCTTTATAATTCTATAGCATACCATGAGTAAGCTTCTATCATGAACAAACTATCTTAAAAGTTTAAGCTATTAGTAACATGAATAGTTGTATTAAATCTCTAAATCTAATAAATTCCCTCGTGTAAGAGTCCTTTGAACTTTAAAGTTTGGATAATACACAATTCCATCTACTTTCGGCTGAAACTCAGTTTTTTATTAGAATTTAGAAGAATGAGGTAAAGATATAACTCTAGACCACTTGGTTATAGAAGTTCTAATACCATATCATAAATCAACTATACCAAAAATTTAAACTATAAGGTGGAAACACAAATGATTTTATATTACACCTCATAACAGCTTCAAGTGCATAATTTGTTTACTTTGATATGTAGATTTAGCACATCAATCTTAAAAACCAGTCTATGATGGATTTTGAATTCCAAAGTCAGTTCTTACTTGTTGCAATTGGCTAGTGTAAAATTATCCCCTCCAACACACTCTCCCTTGAATTTTTTAGGCACAGGACCTAATCCATAATCAGTGAAGCTTTCGGACTCTGGCCAGACTCCTGAAAAGTGAAAATAAATGTTAAGTCACTCATGTAAAGCTGAAAGAAAAAAGAGAGTATCAAAGAAAGTATTTACCAGAGTCAACAACACCAACAATGACATCAGATATAGTGCCCAGCGCTTTATGGTTGCCCTTGTAGACAGTCTCTAATCCAAGAAAATCCCAAGAATGTGTTGTGTGGAGTTTATTCATTTTGCTCTCAAAAACGGATACTACTGAGTTATGTTCTGAAACATAATTCAAAACGTCATTCAGAGCCTGAGCAAGTAAATGGTTAATGGATTCCATATAGCATATGCTTTTGCACTTTGAAACATGGGCATATACACTGTATGAAGCATAGACACCTTTATTTCAAAGTGTTGCAGTGTCGAACATGTTTCTTACACCAAAACTTGTTTGACACATGTCAAACACTTCTAATTAGGTGTCCAATTAAAAAATTATTTTTTGTTGACTTGGATACTTAAGCCGACACTTTTACACAGTTCAGACACTTGATGACATCTCTATATTTTTTTCTCATCTATAGGAAATATTACAAAGATAACAATGAGGATCAAACATAAGTATTCTCGCATGGCTAGACTAACCTAGTGGCGGGTTGAGACCTCTACATGGATGTACACACTAATATTATTAAAAAAAAATCATTTTTTAACTTTTAGATAAGTCAATTAAAAATATAATAGAAAATGTTAAAAAAGTAATGTCTCTCACTTTTTTTTAGGCTTGTTATCATGGGAAAAACATATAAGGTTGGTTTAAAAAGTGAATATACCATGTTTTTAGATATTTTGTTATTTACTCATATTTCAATTCATTTCATTAAAGTCTCTTTTTACGTTTGTGTATGTCATGTCCCGGTATCTTTTGTTTTAAACATCTGTCATGTCAGATAGTTCAGTGTCCACGTGTGTCTGGTTTCCGAGTCTGTCCAATGTCTGTGTCAGAGTCCATGCTTCATAGTATACAACTCCAAATTGGAGTCACCCCGTTTAAATCTGAGAAGCCATTCTCAAAGTATTGAATTAGTTTTCATCTCTTAATCAAAATGTTTCGTTGTTCAATTAATATAGTGGAAAGATAAAGACAGAGATATAAAACTGGAATACAATACCTGCAAGTTGATTAGCTTGCTCTGGTGTAATCATGGCTGAGAAGCCTTGAAAGCTTTTACTGTAGTGGTGGAGTGCTGCTGACTTTGCCCCACTGAGGCTGAAAAGTGTAAGAAAATTACACAGGAAGACTATGTTAGCCTAAGTTATTCCATTCTGAATAAATCAAGCTTAAAAGATAACCGATACTCATAATTAATTTCATGAATTTATCTCAAATTGAGTTACATGCCTTCCAGTAACTGTAGCTAATATCTCATGGTTTGCTCTGACCACAGATTCTGAATTGGGGTGTGAATGATCTCCCATGTAAACTATATAATGCTACATCAATGCAAATCCAAAAGTCAGTTTCGTTCTACGTAAGTAATTAGGAGCTGCAACTGCAAGTAATGTAGCTCATAGGTTGTAGATGCATGCAACTCACGTAGACAGCATGCATAAAGTTCAAGTGAATTAAACAAGGATTACTTGATAAATACCCCACTCAGAATGCTATTTACCTTTGGGGTGGATCCATTCACCAATGTGTACCCAATGAACAGATGGATGAAAAGGCTTAAAATTTTGGCACTCCCCATGATATGCCCAAAGGCTCCAGAATAGAAAGAAATGGTGACTATTTTATGGTAGGTGATTCGCCCATTTTATAGCCAAAACGAACCAAATTACATGCCATGTCACATAAAAATATCAGTTGCCGGCTTTATATGTTTCTGTTTACAACTTGGTGTACATTTGGGATTCTTTAAAAAGTAAAATGACATTCACAAAAGGAGTTTAGATAAATATATATTTATTAAACTAACAGCATTTGGACGAATTATAAATGGCAATTATGGGATTCATACTTGTATCTTTCACAACTACATTATGTTGAAATAGGACAAATTTAGCAATATTTAAAACTCCAAAGGACGGGTCGTTCCCTTGTCTGAACTCGAAAGTGTTTTGTTGGAAACCACGAATCGCATATGCTTACAGAGTTACAGACCAAAAGCTACATTGCATTTCAGATTATTAAAAAAGTTAATAAATAAATAAAAAAAGATAAGCTGCAGTTCATTACTACATGCTTCTGCCAAAAATGCTTCATTCTTTGATTCTTTCAGAAGAGTTTACGACCATATTAGACTTCAAAATTTCTGGTACTGGCTGAATCCTTCTAGTGTGGTTTTTCTTTCTTACACACTTTTTTTTTCCTACTTCATAATTTTCCCTATCCCTCTTCAAAGGATGTCAAAAAAATCTATCTTGCTTTTGATATGTCCATATGGTAGATCACCTTCGTAACATTTGGAATCGATCGTAACTAGACACAGTTTACATGTGACTTGTTCAAATCAACTGGCCGTCCTAACGAAACAAACAATTAGAGGTGGCCAAAAAAGTTAATTATTTCCATTGATGACTTTTGACTGTCACCATTTAGCAATGCCTGCTGTTCTCTCACAAATCACAGCTAATAAAGACGACTTTTCCCGGCATTTCTTCACATATATAAATCACGTATTGGACAATTTATATGCATTTTAGAAGTAATTTGAATTGCAAACTAATCTCACATTTGGTTGAACAATCTGCTCAAAACAAGAATTTTTTGTTAAATGAATAGCCTAATCAACATCTTTAGTAATGAAACTAGTTTTGTCTCTTACGGCTTGTTAGAGTATAGTTATAACTAATTTAAAATTTGTGACTCCGACTTTCAAAATGCAGACCAAGATGAGTAACCAGCATCACATATTCACATGCAATTTATTTTTCTGATCGTTTCAGACTATTCGTATACACAATTTATGAGAAGTAAAAATATGCATTTCACTTGATCCAATAGCTCTGTAAATTACAAATCATAACATGTTAAAACTGGTGCAGATGGTTGAAGAAAAATTCCATCAGAATTATCCTTCCTCTCCGAACTCCTTTGTGAATCTCTCATGAATGTCAAGGTCACCCTTGCTTACTGTAGGTCTTTGTCTAGCAAGTACTTTGTCAAAATCTGTTCTCGATATAGGTGGTGGCAGGATCTGTACAGCCAAAAAGAACAGAGAAACTCTTATTGTCTAATTATCATTTAGAAAAAGAAGTTCTGCAGTCCTCCTGTCATCAAAATCTGCAGCATATTGAATACCTGAGAAGCAAGTCCTTTCGTAGCAAGCTCCTGCATTGTAATTTGTATTGCACTCTGTTGCTTTGGCCCACATGGGATCCACATACCCTCAGGATTCTTAAAGAAAAACATGGCATCTTGGGTTTTGCGAACAGGTTCGAATAAAACATCCTTCACCTGTAGAATAGGTCCAATTACTGTTACATTGAAACTCATCTAAATAAAATGATCTTTACCGGGTATTCCATTTAGAAGTCAAACTTACACAGACAGATATATCTGAACCTGAAAACCCCTCTGTCCTGCGAGCCAAATGTTCAAAATCACTTTCAGCCAGGTTATGGGGAGTATCTCCTAGGTGCACCTGTTCAATTTATTAACCAAGAAAAATACATAGTAAGACCGTTTGCTAGGTTCACAATACACAATAAGACATATAATTCAATGAACATCATCATGTATATTGCTCATGCCTTGAACATGTGTTGTCGAGCCTTCCTATCAGGTAGGGGTATGTATATGCGCTTATCAAAACGCCGCCTTATTGCCTGTAATTACAAGTTGATTAATCAAAACAGTATCCCATTGACTCGAGATAAAAATAACTAAACAGAACTTACTTTATTATTACCTGATCTAGAGCATAAGGTGTATTTGTAGCTGCTAGAACAAGAACTTTCTGATCATTGTGTCCTACACCCTACAATATAAAGTGGATCATAAATTACATTATGATTGGGAACAAACACACACAAAAAAAAAAAAAAAAAAAAACATTAACACCAAAGCTGTTGGAAACCTTGAATCTTCTGAATAAGTAAAATAAGGGAACATAATAATTGTAATTATTGGAACAGGGGGGATTGAACAGTTTTTTTTTTTTTTTGAAAAAAAAAAATTACTTGCTAATGTGTTCACTGTTCAGCTTAAGAAAAAGAAGCTAAATACGACAGGACTTGAGTTGTCAATTAAAAAGTGTGAGCAACTTTCTGCACGACTTAAAATCATCAAACAACTTACTTTACAGATTTTTTACATGCAAAAAATAGTGTAATACTATAACCAAGTCTGGGCTTGGCACGTCAGGTGATGATGGATGCCTAAAAAAATAATACATACTCCTTCCGGTTTTTTTTTAATAAGATCCAATTAACTAACTAAAAAGATTAAGAAAATTAGTTAATTTAGTTGGTAGCATTAAATTTCCCCTAAATTTAACTTTTTTTTCTTCAAAAATTACCCTTATAGTTAATTTTTTTCAAACACTTTTAGTGATTTTAATTTTTTAATATCTCTCATCACTAATATATTTATTGCTCTTATTTTTATGAGCTATGTATGTGAAGGGGAAACGTAAGGTTCCTAAAATTCTCCCCATTCGAGGCAAAGTTAGACTCCCAAAGAGTAGTATTAATGTATTCCACCTACTATTTATTGAACTCATAGGAATCACTCATAATTAAGGATATTTTTGTAAAAAGATAATAAATAATTAATGCAAAAAACATTCTCGATTGGTTCTTATAAAAAAAGACCAAGACAAACCTCCAATTTGATTCTTATTAGAAAGAGAGGGAGTAATAATAACAACTACGTCTACAACTGTTTACACCATTAAAAAATTGAATAGTTGATATCAAGAATCACAATTTCTAATAAGATGATTAAAAACCTCAAGAAACAAAGAAATACCAAAAAAAAAAAGCAAGAACGGAATATAATAGATGTGGATATAAGGCAATATGCACAATGGTGGAATACTCAAACAAATTTGCAGCATAAAAACTGTTGAATTATAATCGTGAGGTGTTAGGAAAGGGAGAGAGAGAGAGAGAATAAAGATAATAATATTCTTAAGTATGGTGTGTAATAATAATATAATATGATAGAAAATCTAATATAATAGTCCTAGCTATAATAATACATGGATCACACACATCATTCAGCTCAGTTAAAGACCAAATCTTCAGAGATATTATTCACCATAAGATTCCTCTTAACTTCATCCAAAGTCCTTCTAAGATTTTCTAAAATATTCTAAGACACAAAAAGGATATAATAGGAGATTTTACAGCCATTCCAACAAGAGACGGCCATTTGTGTCAGATGGCTCTAGATGGCTTATTAAAGAAAACAATAAAGATCAAGATATTTCACAAATGTTGCAATTATAGCACAATAACATGTAACAAAAAAGACATAACTATTGATAAGAAGACACTGAATTACCTCAACCCTGTTCTTCAAATCAACTATTGATAATTCATCAACATTCTATTGTAGAATGAATGAATCAATATATTTAAACTCTAACTGTAATATTGTTCTAATCCACATATCCCCACCACGGCACCATAAATTTATTGTAATATTGTAGAATGAATGAATGCAATTCAACGTCAACTAAGATATTGTTCTAATCCACAAATCCCCACCACGGCACCATAAATTTATTACCTGCATCTGCACCAGAAGTTCAGTTTTAATTCGTCTTGAAGCTTCACTCTCATTCCCTTCTCCACGCTGACCACACAGAGAATCTATTTCATCAATGAATATGATAGAAGGTGCACTCTCGCGAGCCATTTGGAAAAGATTTGAAACCAGTTTTTCACTTTCACCCATCCACTTTGAAACCAGGTCTGATGAAGAAACACTGGTGAAGAATTCAAAAGTTAAAACATGCTGCAAAAAAATGGCCCACCTAAGCACTTACACTCACAACCTTTTTTTCATACAAAATCACTAACAAGACATAACTACTATTACCTTCATTCCTATTTAAAAGACCTAACTTAGAACAATAATTTGTTCTTTTATATAAGATTCAATATATATTATTTCATGTATTAATTATCTTTAAACTAAAATACCCCTAATTATGATATATTCTCTTAATTTAGTGAAATACACCACTATAAACTCTTTAAAAGACGTGCGCTCTAATTGGTTAAGAGAAAGAGCAATTAATTAGGAGAGAAGTAATATAAGACTTGCACTCTAATTGGTTAAGAGAAAGAAGAGTATTAATTAGGAGAAAAAATAGTACTATATGGTAGTTTTGGGAAAAAATATAAAAGTATGACGAATTTATTGTTTTTAACTATATTAACTAGTGAATTAGGTATTTGGGTTTTATTTATAGGAACAAAAGTAGTATTAAATTTGCATTTCCTAACACATTTAGGAAAGTAAATCATAATCATAGATTCACAATCATGCATATAATGAAAGAAATGCTACGCAAAAATCGAATATTTTAACAATGATGATGATGATGTGAAATCAATCCGTATGCACATAACATTCATCCACCAAACTTGATGCGTGTTTTGATACACATTGGATGATCCAAAATCATGTTGAAATATCAACTAATGTGGTTTTAGGTAAATGCTCACATGTTTGATTCCATGTTGAGAAATAGATTGTGTCCAAAATTGATTTTGAGTTGAAGTAACTTAACTTTTGCATTGAATATATTATGAAATTTCCTACTAACTTGCCTTTAGAATACAAACATCCAAAAAAATCATATCACTAAAAAACATTTTACAGCCGTTCACCCAAACACACTTAATTAAGCTTAAACAAAAGAATATCAATAAATCTAATGTGATTTTAGGTAAATGTTCACAAGTTTTGTTCCACGTTGAGCGATTGGCACCGGATCCAGAATTGATTTTGCGATGAAATAACTTTTGCATTGAATATCAGAAAATAATCCTGAATTTTACTACTAATTTGCTTTTACATCACTTCAAAATGAATATCATCCAAAATCTATTCTATTCACACTCACCCAAACCAGCACCTAATTAAGCTGATACAAAGGAATATCAATAAATGTACCTGAAAAACGTAGAATCAGCTTCTGTTGCGACGGCCTTGGCCAGATACGATTTACCTGTCCCCGGTGGTCCGTACAACAAAAACGCTCGCCAAGGTCGTCGTTTACCTGAAACAAACCAAACGACGGGTTATTCAAATTCAACGTCCCTCCTCAAGCGAAAACCGAAACGCTAAAAACTCACCGGTGAAGAACTGAGGAAACTTGACGGGTAAGATAACGGCTTCCTGCAAGGCCTGCTTGGCGCTCTCGAGGCCCGCGACGTCGTTCCACTTGACGTTGGGCTTCTCGCGGACGATCGCGGAGTTGAGGCCGGCCCGGAGCTTGGTCTGCTCGGGGTCCTCCCCGTCGGCGTCGCCATCCTTGGGCTTGGTCTTGGGCCGCGTGGCGACGGCTGCATCCCCGTTGGAGGCGGGGCCTGCGGGGCCGTCGAGGACGGCCCGGATCTCCTCGGCCCGGCGGAGGTACTCGGTGAATTTCTGCGTGATGGCCTCCTTGATCTTAGGGTTCTTCTCGTACTTGAGGTGCGTTTTGAAGTACTCCAAGGCGTTCATGTAAAGCTGAAACGCTTTAGGGTAATTACCTTCATTGTCTTCGTGCACCGCTTGCTTCACGTACTCTATTGCTTGCTCTTTGAAATTGCTATACATCTCCTTCTCCTTTTCCCTATCCTTATTCGGATTCCAATTTTGCTTAGGGTTTCAAAGGATCTGATCGTGAAGAAGGAGAAGGAGAAGGAAAGCGCGTGGAAGAAAGAGAAAGCGTTCGTTCGTTTTTTCGTTTAGCGAGTCAGAGAAGGTTCTTCCGTCGAACCTTCCTTCCCGATTCCCTGCGTTCACGCATTTGCGGATTCGTCGATTGGAACCCTTGGATTAAGATCGAACGGTATGTGTTTTAGATGCGTGTTTGAAGTCGGCTTTATTCGTATAGAATATGAACTGCTAGATTTCATTCAACGGTTGTGATTGTTTGAATGTGTGAACGCGTGAGTAGGGAAGCTACAGGGAATGCGTAAGGCGTTGCGTTTCAATTCGGGAGTTTGTGTAACTATTTTAAAGCTATCTACGTCAATGGATTGCGTGGATTGGAGAATGATAAATAGGGCAATACATTATGGACATAAAGGAAATAATACTACAATATAGATAATAATTAATCATTTTATTTCATCAAAAAATTGAAAGAAAAAAAAATCGATTTAAATTTCAAGTTTTTTGTCATCTTTCATTTTGTTTGTCCCCCATTAAACATAGAATAAGGTTAGGGATTATTTTATACGTGTAACCATAAATTCTAACTTGCAAGCCAAACATGTTTTAAGTTCAGAAAAAATGGACTTAACTTTTCATAAGTCGTTTTAATTCGACTTACTTAACTCTCAAACTGAAATTAGATAAAATCATTATATTCTAGTTAGTTGAAGAGAGTGGGCAAATTGTTATAAACTTTCTTCGTACCGTGTTTAATTCACGTATAAGAAAAATAGAAATATGATAAATTAGAGAGAATAAATGTAATTAAGATTTAAATTTCTCATTAATTTGGTTTTTCCATTCTCATCTTTCTTAAACCCAATCCTCCTTAGTGGGTAGGGAGAAAGAGAGAACAATAACTGCCCCAACTTGTTCCTTTGCCATCCACCCCTGGCCTCTGCATAGAAATGACAATTGGAAAATGGTTTGCTACAAGTCTTGCTCAGGTTCAATGTGGGGTCACAAAAGTCAAGCTGGGCCAAATTATATCAATTTAAGTCCACCAAAAAGAATTGGACTAGAATAAATTAGCTTATTTTTTGACATATTAAGCGCTTATATATATGGTCTAAATTGTTTATTTATACTTAATTTTGCACATTCATATTATATCGGATTATCAAAATTAACTTATCTAGCATACAACTTCTCCTGTTATACTTTCCATAGGCATTAAACAAGGAACTTATTTATGCCAATCAGCAATTAATGAACTTGGAAGGATACAATGACTGTTTAATGACAGAAGTCAGCGATGGAAACTATATAATAAATTTTCAAACTTATTTATTCACTACAAAATTCAATAATTTCCAAATCTCATCAAGATAAAGGGGTTACTCTCTAAACTGCACATAATACAAGAACCAGAAACTAGTAGCGCAAGGATGCATTTACTAGATGTTCTTGCGAGTACAGAAGTAAAACCATTCTTCTACATGTAACAAACATTCTAGTCAGTCATGGAAAGACGAAGAAAAACTCTCTATTATCTTTACTTTTACGAAGGTGGCTATATATTATCAAGAATAAGCGAGTCATATAATATGTAAATCAAAAGATTGATGAAAAAACTATCATGAATATAATTCCCCTCCAATGATTCCTTCACTCGAATTCATCAACCTGTTTTATATAGCTTGTCCTCACAGGAAAGCCAGCTGCAGATTCCAAGCACTACTCCCTGGTAGGAAACAAATTAATAAAATCAGAAATTAATAAAAAACGGGGAGGGGGGAGCTCTTGGCAAGCCAAATTATACTTTCACAGAGTTTGGAAACAACTCAAACATGAAGCAAAAATTCATTACACTATACAGCATGCATCCTAACCATCTTAACCTTTTTTTTTCTTTCCAAGAATGAGGAACTGTGTAATTCCCCTTCCCCACCGCGCCAACCCCTACTTATTTTTTTAAAGCCCCTCCTTTTCACTTTAATCTACACAATATGACTAGAATTGAGAAAATTCTGCAATCAATAGAATGTACTTAATTTTTCCTTGAGAGAATTATAAGCTTGATCTATGCAATAACCCATGTTGACAAATAACCAAACTGCAATGAATATGAAGGGTAAAATAATGCTATGAAAAATCCAACATCAAATACTGTGGTAATAGTATTAGCAAAAAAAAACGTCACACAACACCTTGCCCATAGATTGAGACATTCATGAAAAATAATGCATCTTTTATGCCAAATATGAGAAGTTTATGACAGCGAGGAAATGATTATAAAAAATGGTGAATGCTCAGGAACCAGAACAGCTCAAATATAAAAATTCTGGCATCAACATAAGATTATAAAACAACAGTACATAGTATCCATGCATTCAAGGAAAGTTAGGACATTATCGTATGAAGTTGATTTGAGGCATGATAACTTTATGCAAGAACTATTGGTTTGGAAATTCCACGCCAGCAAATTCACCATGAAGTGAAAGCAGATGACCACAAATGCAAGACCAAGCACGCAACCGTGACAAACAAATTGACATGCACCAACTTAGGGCCTGTTTGGGGTCATTGCAAGTTTATGCCTTTTGCTTTTCAAAACAAAACATGTTTGGCTAAAATAGAGCTGAAATAGTTTTTAACTCAATTTCAAGTACTTTTACACTCATTTTCAAAACCAAGAATAAAGGATTTGTAAATTTAGCATTTAGTATTTAGTTTTTAGTTTTTAGTTTTTAAAAATCCACTCACTACATTTGACAATGGTCCTTCCTGCTTCCACCATTGGCACCACCACATCCACCAATATGGGCACCACTCCAATAACACTACCTCTAATACTGTCACCATTACCATCTACACCACCGCAACACACCTGTAAACTAATTTTAAAAAGATAGGGAGCTTTCAAAGTGAGATTATTTTAAAACTAAAACTAAAAATTAGTTGTAGTTTTAAAATGTTTGAAACTTCCAACTAAAAACCACCCCAAATGGACCCTTAAGGCAACAAGTTTTGCAAACTAACATCCTTGCCTGGATAAAACCCTTTATGTGATTTATTATGTAAATAATAACCAAGTATTTGTTCAATAACATGGGTGGAGTTTAAATGTTTTTGGACAAGAAAAGTACACCTGTGTTCTTGTGTCTTTCAAATTTAGGCATAGACCCAAGTAAATTCATTACCGTAAAATCCATCCAAAGGTTAACACAATTGACAAGAAATGCATGTTCAAACAATAATATCTGTTTCTGATTAATTGACATGCATAATGCACCAACATAAGCAACAATCAAGGCAGACAAAGCTGCTACTGGGAAAAACAGATTAACTGATTTCATTACGTAAATTAAATAATAAAAATTATTTCTTCAATAAAATGACACTAGTCTATGCAGTGGAATTTCCACAAATGATAAAGCACAATTTGCAGAAACAAATAAAGACTCGATGTCTCACTCCAGCCAACAGTTTAGTAGATAACTCAAGATTGCTTCTCTGAGCAGAAAATAAAAATACAGCCTTTCAGTTAAAATCACATCCACATTGACATGTGATGTGGCTAAGTGTAGGGATTCCAAATTTATAAACTTTTTAAATTTCTTCAGACTAGCTCCAAAATTATAAATTCCTAATTCATGTGCAACATCATTGCTGCTAGAAATGACCTGTGATCATAAATCTTAGGGGATCCATGAGACTGAACATGGATCATGATAGACAACACCTAACTGTTCAAGGGGAGAAATCAAGAAAAGTATTACTTTTAAAATTCTTTTAAAGAGGATAAATGAATGGCAATTTAGCATTTGTTACAAAAGCCACTGTGGGGAGTGCTAACAAGGACGAATGTATCTGGAGCAATAAATGTGATTCCAGAAGCACCGAGTAAACTGCTCATTAGAATTCAACTCTACCAAATTAATTTTCGTTAAGATAACAGTTTTATCTTATAGCATGTTTGGATGCCCGTTTTTCACCATCATATACGTCCATTCTGAAGCATTATAGAGTTGCTTCAGCATCCTTTGGATAACTTGACATGAAAACATATATACACGTGTATTATAGATGTTATTGCAAACACATGCTTAATCAATACGATACCTAAGGCCCACATTCCGTACCACTAAATAACTACAAGTGAATAACCTCATGGTACAATACAGTACAACAATGGCAAACAAACACACTTCAATTGCACAGGTAAAATCAAATCAAATCAAACCAAAGAAAGGCAAATGGTAGAGTTTAAGACAACACTTTCCTCTTATAATGAGTTTGGATGCCCATTTTCAACGCCTTACCACATCCATTCTAAAGCATTATAGAGTTGCTTCTGTATCCTTTGGATAATATGACATGAAAACATAAATTTACGTGCATTACTAACGATATTCCAAACACACTTAACGTGTACTATACCTAGCGCCCACATTCCTTACAGCACTAACAGTTTGATTGCGTACAAGTTTAGAAATGTTTTATTTTCCAATAGAGAAATTCTCAAAATCACTCCTATCGTGTATCCAAAAATACTCTAACTAACTACAGGGGAATAACCTCAAGGTACAATCCAAAAACAACAATGACAAACAAACACATTCAAGTGCATAGAATCAAATCAAACCAAAGCAATAGAGACAAAACACCATCACACATACCAGTTAATTAGCGAGCCAAAGAGAAAATGCTGCATGATGGGGACCTTCTCCAAGACCTCAGCCTTGTACATCTTGAGCAAGCCACTATTGACCTTGCTCCAGCTGGGCACCCCACTGATGTCATCCAACATGGGGGAGTGCTCAGCGAACACCCCCTTCTTCACCTTCTTGACAAAGGCAATGCAAGCAAGGTAAAGATACTCATTGGAGAAATTCTCCAGAATATCCGTATTATGAATGGACTTAGGCTTCATATACTTGTGATCAATCAACTGCGAGGACCCAAAAATGAAGGGCAAAAAATGGTAATCATCGAGCCCCCAAACACCATGGGACCCCGCAGGCTCAAGGCAGTACTGAAGCTGCAGCTTCCTCATGAGCTCAAGGTATTTGACGAAAACCCTAACCACGACGGCGGGGTAGTCGCTTTCTTCGATGACGGCGAGGCGGGCGAGGCAGTAGAGGAAGGCGGCGAAGTTGGTCTCGTGGCCGGTGCCGTAGTCGATGCGGGAGGCGTTGCCGAAGGAGTCGGTGAAGTAGGGGACAAGCTCGGCGGCGGCGTCGCGGAGGGGCTCCGGGAGGAGGGGGAGGATGAGGGATTCGGCGGCGGAGGACATTTTCTCGTGCCAGGAGCGGAAGGCGACGTTGCCGAAGCGC